AAAGTTTTAAAGAAACAAAAGATAAGGGGGAGCGCCGGCCTTTGGGCCGGCTCGCTCCCTGCCTCATAGGCGCCTGGAAGGAGGGCCTCCACCGCATGGGGAGCCACGCGGCAGCGAGTGCTGTTGCATCCCGGCCCTCAGGCCAGCCGCCGCCGCTCAATTGAGATCTATCATGACACAGAGAACAATGACACAACTGGCCCACCATGCACCGGCTGCAGATGCCCACCCACGGATGTGTGTGAATCATTCAAACATGGAGAAACCCCTGGGAATAGATGCCATACAACGGGCCACTCTTGCTCCTGCCATTGAGAACCAGAAAGGTCCAGAGTCAGCAGAGGAGCAGCTACTGAACAAGGACTTGGAGAACGTGAGAATGCAGACTAAGCCCACGGAGTCAGAGGTCCTGTGGACTGGGGTCATGAGAACCGCTCAGAAGCTGTAAACCAGGAGGACCTTGCACAATACCTGCAGAGACTCCCTGAAGCCATTCTTCCCCTGACAGTACAGGCTGTGGTGGAGCTCCAGAGAGGTCTGCAGCAAGATTCCAGCTGCCTGTGCTGACAGTTGGGGAGAGGACACTAACTGGTTGTGGGGCCCAAATGCAATGGGAGGCTGGAGAGAAAATGCTACAAAAAATGGCTTTCGCCCCAGACAGCTCACTTGAGATGTTAGTAAGAATTGCCTCCTCAGTATTCTATAGCCTTGATGAGGAGGAAGCCAAGGAGAGAAAACAAAGAGACCGAGAAAAAGCAGCTGCTTTTGCTGCAGCACTAAGAGAAACACATCCCAAGTCTGATTCCCAGGGCCCCAAGAAGAACTCGACAACTGCATTCATCTGCTACCACTGTTGAAAGCCAGGCCACCTCAAGAAAACTGCCCTAAGAAGCCCCATGGGCCATGCTCTGAATGCAAAGGTGACCACTGGAGATCGGTCTGCCCTCTGAGGTGGAGGTCCCAGAGCTCAGACCCATCCTACCAATTAGTCCAACAGGAATGAGAGGGCTCGGGGCATACTCTGCCTTCTCCCTCTGGCCAGACTGTGATCTCCATGGAGGAGCCCTGGGTAATCATGACTATGGAGGAACAAGGAAAC